AGGTCATTTGAAGCAGATTTTTCCTGTGCAATGCATTGCCTGATTTCTTGACTGCTGCTTCCATTGATGTTGATTATGGAACCAAGTAATATGTAATCTTTGACAACTTCAATCTTTGTCCATTTATTCTCATGCTGCTTATTGGTCCAGTTGTGAGGATTTTCATTTTCTTTATGTTGAGGTGTAATCCATACAGCAGACTATACTCTTTTATCTTCATCAGTAAATTCTTCATGTCATCTTCACTTTCAGCAAGCAAAGTTGCGTCATCTCTCTATCACAGGCTGTTAATGAGTCTTCCTCCAATCCTGATGCCATGTTCTTCATAAGCTCCAGCTTCTAGGATTATTTGCTCAGTACACAGATTGAATAACTATGATGAAAGGATACAACTTTGACACACTCCCTTCCTGACTTTAAACCATTCAGTATTCCCTTGTTCTGTTCAAACAACAGTCTCCTGGTCTATGTAAAGGTTCCTCATGAGTACAATTAACTGTTCTGGAATTCCCATTCTCCTCAATGTTAGACATAATTTGTTATGATCCATACAGACCAATGGTTTTGCATACGCAATAAAACACAAGTAACCATATTTCCAGTATTCTTTGCTTTTAGCTAAGATCTGTCTGACATCAGCAATCCTATCTTTCATTCCACATCCTCTTCTGAATCCACCTTGAATTTCTGGAAGTTTCCTGTCAATATATTGCTACAACCATTTTTTAATTATCTTCAGCAAGCTTTACTTGTGTGTGATATTAATTATTATTATTTTTTTTAATAACTTCCACATTCCATGGGATCACCTTTCTTTGGATTGGGCACAAATTTGAACTTCCACTGAATTGGCCAGATAGCTGTCTTCCAAATTTCTTGGCATAGACAAGTAAGTGCCTCCGGCTTGCCATCCATTTGTTTAATAATTTCAATAGGGATTTCGTCAATTCCTGGAGCCTGGCTATTTGCCAACTCCTTCAGTGAAGCTTTGACTTCTTCCTTCTATATCATTGGTTCTAGATTATATCCCACCTCCTGAAAAGGATGAACATCAACCAATTCTTTTTGGTACAGTGACTCTGTGTATTCTTCCATCTTCTTTTGATGTTTCCTACATCATTCAATATTTTGTCTATAGAATCTTTCAACATTGCAACTGAAGGCTTGGATTGTTTCTTCAGTTCTTTCAGCTTGAGACATGCTGAGCATGTTCTTCCCTTTTGGTTTTGTACCTCCAAGTCTTTGCACATTTCGTTATAATAATTGACTTTGTCTTCTCAGGCTTCTCTTTGAATCTTCTGTTCAGCTCTTTTATCTTGTCATTTCTTCCATTTGCTTTAGCTACTCTCTGTTCAAGGGCAAGTTTCAGAGTCTCTTCTGACATCCATGTGGTACTTTCTTCCTTTCTTGTCTTTTTAATGACCTTTTGCTTTCTTCACAGATCATGTTCTTGATGTAATCTCACAATTCCTCTAGTTTTCAGTCATTGGTGTTTAATGAGTCAAATCTATTCTTTGGATGGTCTCTAAATTCAGGTGGGATATAATCAAGCTCATGGTTTAGTTTTCATTGACTTTTTTTTTAAATTGTCTTCAGCTTCAACTTGAACTTGCATACAGGCAGTTGATTATCTGTTCCATAGTCAGCTCTTGGCCTTGTTTTGGCTGAAGATATTAGTTTCTCTATCACCTCTTTCCACAGATGTTGTTGTTGTTGTTATGTGCCATTGAGTCAGATGACTCATAGCGACCCCTCCTTGGGTTGCCTGGCAGTATCACTATGGAAATAGATTGCCCCACCTTCCTTCCAAGGAGTGGCTGGTGAATTTGAACCGCCAGTCTTCTGGTTAGCAGTCAAGTACCTTAGGCATTATGTTACCAGAGCTCCTATGTAGTAGATCCTATGTAGTGGATTTGATTCCTGTGTATTCCATCTGGTGAAGTCTCCGTTGATAGCTGCCATTTGTGTTGTTGTGAAAACGTATCTGCAATGAATAAGTCATAAGCTCTTGGTATTGAAAAATTCTATCATGCGATCTCCAGCATCATTTCTATCACCCAGGCCATATTTTCTAGCTACTGGTGATTATTCTTTGTTTCCAACTTTTGCATTCCAATCACCAGTAGTAATCAGCACATCTTGGTGGCATGTTTTGTCAATTTCAAACTGTAGAAGTTTGTAAAAATCTTGCTGTGGTAGTTGGTGGGTAAATTTGAATAGTAGTAGTATTAACTGGTCTTCCTTGTAGGTATATGGATATTATCCTATCATTGACAGCACTGAATACATTAAGAAATAACAACAACAACAAAAAGTATAAAATAATGGCAAGCTCTGGTAGCATAGTGCCTAAGGCATTTGACTACTAACCAGAGGAGTAGTGGTTCAAATCCATCAGCCACTCCTCAGAAGGAAGGTTGAGTAATCTACTTCCATAGTGATATCAACTCGGAAACCCAAGGAGGGGTCGCTATGAGTCAGGGCTTACTCGAAGGCACATAACAACAACAACAACAACAGTCATCTTTTTAAGATTATTTTGCATTGCCTTTAGAAATCAAAAGGAGTTCTGATGATGTAGTGGTTAAAACATCCGACTGCTAACCCAAAGGTCAGTGGTTGGAACCCACTAGCTGCTCCATGGGAGAGAGATAAGGCCGTCTGTTTCCATAAAGATTTAGTCTTGTTAACTCTATGGGACAGTTCTACTCTGTCCTATATGGTCTCTCTGAGCCAAATTCAATTGGGTGACAGTGGGTTCGGTTTGTTTGGGGTTAGAAATCAAACATGGGAAAAATTTAAATATTTCTCTAGAGTTACCCATTTTTTTTCCAGTTTAAAATATGCTTTGATAAAGTAAAAACTTTCTAAGGATTTATTTCACCTATTCTCACTTAACCACTACAAAAGAAATAAAATTCTTCCAGTTGAAAATATGCTAAACTTAAATAGTATATTCTTGAAAATATTGACCATTCACATTAAATAGACCATCTATCCCAGTGGAGACACTTTTAGGAGAGAAAAATATGAAAATATTGACCATTCACGTTAAAGAGACCATCTATCCCAGTGGAGATACTTTTAGGAGAGAAAAATAAGGCTCTGAGAGTAGAGTTGACAAATTAGTGACAAAAGTAATGGACTCTCAGTTAAATTAGAATTTTGATAAACAGCAAATACATTTTAGTATAAGTATGTCCCATACTATATTTGAGAAACTTCCTTTAAGTAGAATTATGTGCCACACAATAATCTTGCAACGTACTTATACTAAAAAAAAAAAAAAAAATCCTTGTTTTCTGAAGTTCAAATTTAACTGGGAGTCCTATATTTCATTTGGCAATGATATGTCAGAGACTTCCCACATCTTTTTAAATTTTAACTTTTAGGATCAGCAAAATAAAAGTCATTAGGGTGACAAACTGAAGCCAAAGACATGGTTTTCCAAGGAGCTGGTCTCCAGTGATCTCCATCAAAAATTGCTGAGATATTCTTGTTCTGTGTTTACAAGGATCAAGATTCCAAGAGTAAAATATTCCCAAAATAAGAGCTGTCCATATTTTCTTATTTTTTTGGTGAACAATTTCATCCAGAGGTCAGATCATCCTACTTTTTATTTAGAGCAGACGGCAGTGGGTTTTGAGAGCTTCTGTTAGCAGCATGGTAGTGGTCATTGTCCTGGAATACATACCTAGTTATCTATAGAATAACTATGTTATATTGTACAGTCTGTCACAGTATATCTGTAGAGCCACAAGGCCTTCAGATACTACTGAGTAAAATATTTCCCACTTTTCTGAGGTCTGTGCAAATCTCATTAGAGAAGAAGAGTTAGAGCACCTCCAGATATTACTATATATGCTTTTAATATCTTCTGAGTGAAAAAGTCCATTTGTACATGTGTATTTATAAATCTTTCATAAATCCGGTAGCTCCCATGTTTTTACCAATAAAAAAGAGAATCTCAAATAAACTAGGTGATATTAGACTAACTTTCTTAACTTCTACATCAATTGTTTCAATATGAGAGGAAGTTGATTTACGATTAAGAGTACAGACTCTGAAACAGACTCTGAAACTACACTGCCCGGCTTGCATCCCAGCTCTGCTACTTTCTAACTGTATAACTTTGGGCAAGTCATTTAACTTCACTGTGCCTCAGTTTCCATATATATAAATATAGATAGAAAGTTAATAATAAGACCCAACATACAGACTTGTGAGAATTAAACAAGTTAACATATATTTAAAAAAAAATGAGTCAATTCCAACTCACAGCAATCCCCATTGTGTTTCTGAGGCTGTAAGTCTTTATGGAAGTAAACTGCCCCATCTTCCTTCTGCAGAGCAGCTGGTGGGTTTGAACTGCTAACCTTCTGTTTAGTAGCCAAGTGCCTTATCCACTGTACCACCAGGGCTCCTTAACATATATAAAGTACTTACAAAATAGTCTACACATTTAAGTCTATATGCATATGGATAACTATTGTTATGACATGAGGTTTTAGTTCTCAAAAAAGAATAACCAAAAAGGGTTGCTGACCTTTTGTTTTAAAAAAACATTGTTTCATTTCTTCATTATTACATACTGTTTTGTATTTTTCCTCCTATTTCAGAATACATGAAGTACATAATTCTTAGGTTATCTTTAAATTGGATTTCATGATTTGTACTGTTTATCAAAGGAGGACTAAAAGGGGATATTGCCATCATATTGAGTTTGGAAAAGAGCCAAGGAGGCCGAAAAGAGAAATTACAACTGTAACCTGCCAATTCCAGGAAATGCAATCAGAAAGCCTGTTTTTATAGACATGTATAAATGATCATGTTGTGATATCAACTTCCTCTCCCCCTTGATTTCCCACTTATTTAAATTAAAAGGCATATATTAAAAGTGAAAGATAAATTTATTCCTTTGGCAAAAGAAGTAATGATAGTCCCAAACTGTTTTATACTATCTTAGAGGTAGTTATCTCTGTAAAACAATATCCACATACCAAATGGACGAAGGTCCAAGCAGAGATTTGCTCCCTCAACTAAGGTGGTGTTCCGGCAGATGGTCCACAGATTGAAGTACATGTAGACTGGCAATGAAGTGAAAACTGTGACTCCCAGCCACGCCAACATGAAAAGGTACGTCAGCATAATAAACTGCAACAGAGAAAAAGTGAAGAGAGGACCATATAATCTACTGGAAAATAAAAATTTTGTGTTTAATCTACAGAGTGCTATATATAAGGTTTTAAAGACAATGTCACATATTATTAGCACAACAATAGTAGGGACTATAGCATGGGAGGCTGAGAGAAGGTGAATACGAAGGTTTATGAGAATAAGCCTGCTGGAAAAATTGCATCTTGGCAGAGGATCTGATGCACAAGGGAAAAAAAATAGCTCATTTGCATTTTGAGCTGAATGCCTGCTTCATCCATGTCTTTATCTTAAAAATCATCATACATTTTTCAAATGTCAGAAAATGGGGAATTTTTCAAAATAAGTTAAAATCCCATCAATAAATTTACATTACACTTAAACTGACATCATTCATATCATGAATATTTAAACTATGAACACGTTTACAATTAACATTATAAATGTGGTGATTCTCAAATCATTTTAGTATATTTTGATAATAATATGTATCTCCAGTTCCACTCCCCCTTTTTGATACATTTTTTTAAATTTAAGTCTTCTTTCTTGCATGTTTACTTTGATATTGTTATAGAAACATATGTTTTTAAATTTGAAAAGAAATTTTCTTATTTCAGAAATATTTTTAATATTTATAAAGTGTATCAAAAGGTTGTCCATAATCCTTCTCTTGTTCAGTATAGATTTACAAGGATATTTAATTCAAGAGTGGTTTAATTGCTGGATGAGAAAACAGATCCAAGTTTCAATGAGTGGATGAATAGCTGGTAGAAGATACATGTGTTAATGTTATCTTAAATTACTTACCAACTATATTAATCCATACTATATATACATATGTGTGTGTGTATTTGTGTGTGTATATGTATGTGCACACATATATATGTGTATGTATATATATATACACACACACATACACATTGTAAATATTTAGTATGGATTAATGGTATATATATTGCCAAATATATGTATACATACATATAATTGCTGATATAAATAAACTCTCTTTAATATTCTCAGCTAACAGATGTTTTAACAAATGTATTTCTATACAAGGGGAAAAGAATGAAGGAGGGAGTACATAGATCAGCAAAAACCTTGAGGTTTAAATACAGCGCTAAAATTCTCACATTGTAAAAGATGACTGTTTTTGTTAAAGCAAGTCATATGTCATTCAATTATTAGTTTATTTTTCATGATCATAAGAATAATTCACTATATGAAATGGCCATGCAGGTAAAAACCACCCAAAAATAGAGAAGTACGTTGTTATTGTTGTTGTTAGATGTCATTGAGTGAACTCCTTCTCATAATGACCCTATGCACAACAGAATCAAACACTGCCAGGCCCTGTGCCATCCTTACAATCTTTGCTGTGCGTGAGCTCATCGTCACAGCCATTGTGTCAATGCACCTCATTGAGGATCTTCCCCTTTTCCATTGACCCTCTGCTTTACTAAACATGATATCCTTCTCCAAGGACCGATCCCTTCTGACAACACGACCAAAGTACATGAGCTTAAAGTCTGACCATTCTCTCTTCTTCTAACGAGTATTCAGGCTGTACTTCTTCCAAGACAGATTTGTTTGTTCTTTAGTCAGTCCATGACATTTTCACCAACACCACAATGCAAACACATCAATTCTTCTTTGAACTTCCTTATTCATTATAAAGCTTTCACATGTATATGAGGCAAGTGAAAATACCACCACTTGGGTTATTGTTGTTGTTGTTATTTGCCGTAGAGTCGGCCCGACTCATAGCCACCCCTCCTTGGGTTTCCGAGGCAGTATCACTACGGAAGTAGGATTGCCCAACCTTCCTTCCGAGGAGTGGTTGGTGGGTTTGAACCGCCAGCCTTCTGGTTAGCAGTCAAGTGCCTTAGGCACTATACTATCAGAGCTCCTACCACTTGGGTTAGGCACACCTTAATCTTCAAAGTGACATCTTTGCTCTTTAACATTTTAAGAGGTCTTTTGCAGTATGTTTACCCAGTATAATATATCTGATTTCTTGAGTGTTGCTTCCATGGGCACTGATCATAGATTCAAGTAAAATGAATTCCCTGACAATTTCAATTATTTCTCCATTTATCATGATGTTGCTTATTGGTCCAGTTGTAAGGATTTTTGCTTCTTTATATAGAGGTGTAATCCAACTGAAGACTTTAGTCTTTGATCTTCATCAATAAGTGCTTCAAGTTATCTTCACATTCAGCAAACAAAGTTGTGCCGTCCACAGGTTGTGAATGAGTCTTCCTTCAATACCGATGCCATGTTCTTCTTTATATAGTCCAGCTTCTCAGACTGTCAGCTAAACTCTATTTGACATTAGCAATGATATCCCTTGTGCCACACCCTCTTCTGAATCCAGTTTGAATATCTAGCAGTTGCTTGTCACTACAATGCTGCAAATGTTTTTGAATTATCTTCAGCAAAATTTTACTTGCAGGTGATACTAATGATATTGTTCAACAACTTCCACATTCTGTTGGAATGGGCATAAATATGGATCTCTTCCAGTCAGTGGGCCATCTAGCTATCTTCCAAATTCTTGTCATAAACAAGTGAGCATCTCAAATGCTAAGAGAGTTATCCTGCCAATGTAGTATTAATCCTACTCAAGTATCAGAACTTAAAATATAGATTATCCATAAAGAGTTGCCAAATAAGCCAAACAAGATCACCACTAACAATTTTTCTGTCACGATTTCTACTTTTGATTTGTTTCATCTGAAGCTTGCTAATTAATTCTCAGTATCAGTGAATAATAGTACCCTTCTCTGCCACTACTTTTATATGTGAACTTCTGATTTTCATATTGTCTACCGATAAAACACATACACTTTTTAGGAAGAAAAAAGCCAGAAGGCATTTTTGGAAGTACATTTCTGTGGCATAGTGCCCAAGGCATTTCACCGCTAACCAGAAGCTTGGTGGTTCAAACCCACCAGCCACTCTTCAAAGGGAAGTTTGGGCAATCTAGTTCCATAGAGATACCACCTCAGAAACCCAAGGAGGAGTCACTATGAGTCAGATTGGACTTAATGTTAGTGAGGTGTTTTTTTTTTTTCTTCCAATTATTGATTGACTTATTCATTTATTCTTTCAATCCCCAAAGGAGATTTAAAAAAGTAACACGTATTCGTTATTGAACCCCACAAATCAAGGCCAGATTAAGACTTGTGAGAATCTAGAATACTGAAAATTTGTGGTGCTCTGTTTACTCACACATTGGAATGGGATATGCCAGTTATGTGTATGTGTGTATGTGTGTGTCCTAGTTTTCCATGATGTTTCTATGATACTAATGATTGAGTGCAAAAATGGCACATGTCATTTTAGTAGAATGAGGTGAACTGGATTATAAACATTTTAGTGGATATATAGTACTAAGATTTTACTATATACCATATTTTCTACAAAAAGAATATTCCATGACAAAGAAAATGAGTCAGTGAAGTTAGTTGCTTCGACAATCAATGTAAAATTATGTAACCTCTTACAATGAAAAACTGACTTTCAACAATTATGCTTTAAATGGCTTATACTTCAATTTGATTCTTGTTTCATAATAGATACTATAATTACAGACTAACAGATGAAAAGACATCATAAATGAAAATTTAACAATCATAAAACAATATTACAATGAATTACTATATTTCCAGCAATATATCAGTGTTTCACTACTAATCATAAGATTTTCAGTGACTAGTTTTTCAAAAGTAGATGGCCCTGTTCCTCTTCCCAGTCTGTCTTAGTCTGGAAGCTCCACTGAAACCTGTCCACCATGGTGACCCTGCTGGTACTTGAAATGTTGGTGGCATAGCCTCTAGCCTCACAGCAACACTCAAGCCACCACAGTATGACAAACCGACAGACAAATGGATATCATGTTTGTTAAAGTGGAGGGCCAGAGAAAAAGGGGGAAATCTTCAATGAGAAGGAATGACACAGCTGTTGTGATAATGGACTCAAGCATAGCAAGGATTGTGAGGATGACACAGGACCAGGTAGTGTTTTGTTGTGTTGTACATAGGGTCACCATGAGTCAGAACCAATTTGAAAGCACCTAACAACAACAACAACAACAACAACTATATTTTATTTTTAGATAGCCCTTTCATCTCTAACATGTTATAATTAAAAACACTTCTTGCTATTCTTTGCTCTCACATATTGTCCAATTATTTCATCACAATGAAGTTGCTGAGCAATACCTACTTCCATACATAGGAAAGATATTAAATTGAGTCTTTCTTGAATTTTTGTACTCTGAGAGTCTTTGAGTCTCATTTTGGATGAAAAATGCACATTCTGTTGCAGTTTGTGCTCATTAAAATGAGGAATTTGTGTAAAGCAATTTCAACATTGAAAATTATGCACTGTATTTTATCTTCCATTATGGAATCATATATATATACATGAGTAAAATTTGTCTTTGCTGAATCTGTAAACTTAGTTCTCATGTAAGAATGCAATTGTTGCATTTCTCCATAAAGGTTTGCAGGTAAGTCATCAGGATAAGCCTAAATTAATTTTTGGAATACCTTCATGCATTCTTCATCAGGTATATTCACATTGTTTAAGAAACAAAATGTATTTGAACAAACTTCATATATACTGTTGTCCTTCTTTTTATGCAAGATTCAAATATGTCAATGATGGTATAGTACCTAGTTAAGCAAAACTGACCTCTGGCACTAAATGATAAGTGTGGAGTACTTCCACTTGTTTATTTTTAATGCTCTTCAATGAGGAACTGATTGATAATCAGTGTTTGGCAGTATTTTCTTTTCCTGTTTTCAAAATTCTCTCTTAAGTTATGTAAATACACTGTTAATCACTGATAAAAATCTTTGCATGTCTTTATATTTACTTTTGAATCTTGGAGACAGGACTTGTTCAATGAAAATGCTACATTATATTATTGTGTATAACCAGCATAAATATATATTCTAGCATCAGTGAGCCAGGCGCTGGCAGGTGGGTGTTGG